GAGAGAGAGAGAGAGAGAGAGAGAGAGAGAGAAAGTCGTCAAATCAGTGTTCGATAAGGTTTTTTCTTAGTTTTAGTAAGGTTTTACGGCACTCTCAACTGCATAAAGTCAAACGATCACCAAGGGGTGGAAGTCAACAGAGAAGTCCAAAGATAAGGTTTAACTCATATAAGGACGACCAAAATTTCCCTACTTTGTTTTAGTATGAGTTTTACGGCACTTGTAACATCACAATTAGGTCGTATAAATGCCGAAGATTGGAGGTGTTACAAGAGAGTAACACGCATAAAAAAGAAGGAGAGATTTATAAGGACGATAGATGTTTGACAAGAAGGAACAAAGCACACCAGAGCTCCCGCCGACCACCCACTCACATATTAGGACGACCAGATTTCCCTTCACGAAAGGGCAAAAGCTACATTGTTGGCGCAGCTTGATAAAAATCCAATTGGTGGTTGGCGGTTGGTTTGGTGTGGCCTGCTCCTTCTCTTCTATCAAACATCTATCGTGATTGTCTCTCCTCCATCTTTTTGTATGTTACTCTCAAGTGACTTACCTCTGGAACACATTACTCTCGGTACTTATATGACCTAATAGTGTTGCAAGTACCGTAAAAATTTACTCAAAGTAAAACTGAAAAAAAAAAATCTCCAAAATCAAATTTGCGAGCACAATCACACACATACAGAGCGCACTACTCATATGGAATGCACTAAGAACATCATCATGTCGTTGTTGGTGGTGGGGATGATATCGCTAATGGTGTTTTCGCTGCCACTGCTATTGTTGTTGTTATTTCTTGTTGTTGTTGTTGTTGTAGTTGTTGTTGTTGTTGTTGTTGTTGTGTGTGTGTGTGTGTGTGTGTGAGTGTGAGTGTATGTGAGTGTGTGGTCGAGGGGTTTAGGGGGCAAAGAAGTCCATCATCATCGTCACAATTGTTATTGTATGCACGATAAGCACCACCATCATGACATCCACTAAACCCCACCAACACCACTACGACCACTACTATCACCACTACCACCATTACAGTCACCACCACCACCACATCCACCAACACCACCCCCAACACCACCTCCTCCTCACCACCACCACCACCACAATCATCATCACCACCACCCTACCCCCAAACCACTACCCAACCCCCCAGGTAATCACGGACGAGTGTTCCCCGTACCCGTCGTACCGTGTGGCCGCTGTGGCCTACGCCTACCGCCGTCCCGTGCCACGCCCACGTCGCTCGCCGCCTCTTTCTCTCCTCCTACTTCGTGACGCAGCGACACCGCCCAAACCACCCACACTTCCACCAGCAGCAGCGGCGGCAGCTGCAGAACAAGCAGCAGGAGTAGAAGCTGCAGAGCAAAAATCTGGAGTAGAAGCAGAAATAGAAACAGGAGTAAAACAAGTGTCAGGAATAGAAGCAGCAACAGAACAAGCAGTAGGAGAAAGAGCGGCAGCAAAACAAGCAGCAGGAGAAAGAGCAGCAACAGAGCAAGCAGCAAGAGTAGAAGAAGCAGCAACAGAGCAAGCAGCAAGAGTAGAAGCAGCAGCAGAGCTAGCGACAGAAGGAGAAACAACAGAGCAAGCAGCAAGAGTAGAAGAAGCGGCAGAGCTAGCGACAGAAGGAGAAACAACAGAGCAAGAGACAAGAGAAGAAGAACCAACAGAACAAGTGCCAGAAGTAGAAGCACCAACCGAACCAGTAGAAGTAGCTGTACCAGTCCGACATCCAGAACAAGCAGCACCAGCAGCACCAGAAGCACCAGCAGCACCAGAAGCACCAGCAGCACCAGCAGACCCAGAAGCATCAGCAGCATTAGCAGCAACGCTCGATACAGCATCCGCAGCACTACAGGCTGCCCCAGCAGCAGCGGCGACAGAACCAGGAGCAGGAGAAACGTCAGCCGAGCAACCAGCAGCAAAGACAGCATCTCTTGAGACATCACCGGCACTAGAAGAAGCAGCAATCACGGCAAGAGCAGCAGCAGCAGCAGCAGCTGAAACGGAAGAAGCAGCAGAAACGCCTGTCGGACAGTCGGCAGCATTCGACTCAGCACGGGCGCTGAAAGCAGCAGTAGCAGCAGCAGCAACAACTGCATCAGCAGCAGCAGCAGCAGCAGCAGCAGTACCGTTACCTATAGACCGGATACCACCTGCCGCCACTTACGTGTGGGCCGACGACACCACAAGGGACCTCACCTATGTATGGGTGGTCAGTGACTACGAGGAGGGAGGAGGGACGTCTGCCGGAACAGCGGCGTCTGATGGAACAGGGGGCCGACCGCAACCGTCGCTAGGCTAGGCCATGTCCGCGCCAGTGTCGCATGAAGAAAGTTTAAATCATTATGTTCTTTCTGATTGCGGTAGTGATGAGTTCTAACCGTGCAGATGGAAAAAACTTGGTCAGCTGGGTTCTTTGATTGTTTTGTTTTTGTTTGTTTTTTGTGGGGGGGGGGGGATATTTTGTTTTGGATTGGTTTGGTTTATTTATTATTTTGTTTAGTTTTGTTTCACTTGTTTTTTTGGTTTGTTTCTTGTCGATTTTTTAACTTTGGAAAGGGGGGGGGGGTGCTATTTCTGAAAGGGGTGTCTGTTTTGTTTTGGGTTTTTTTGTTTTGTCTTGTCTTTTTTCGTTATGGGAGGGTGGGGGTGTTATTTCAGGTTCTGAAACCATTGTGGGGGTCGATCTGCAGTGCCTCAATAACAAGAAGTTGTCAGCTTGACCTATAATAGCATGAAAGTATTGAAGGGTCGTTTTTATATCATGTCGTGTTCTCATCATTTATACCATGATGACGTTGGCAAAAAGGAGGGGGTCGGGGGTATGCAGGCTTAAATTGTGCTCAAAAGTATGTGTTTGTGTGTGTGTGTGTGTGCATGTGTGT